CCCCGCGTGGCTGTCCCTCGACGGCGACTCAGGTGTCGGGGTACAAGGTGGGACAGTGCGTCCAGTGGCTGACGGAGACGGTAGGGATGACGAAGGACCAAGTGGCGAAGCTCGTTCTGGCACACCCGCCGATGGTGAGCGGTTGGATAAGATACCGTCGGTATCCCGCAGATTTAAACCCTTTGACGCCTAAGAGGGGGCGACATGGCACTCCTCCTAGACCGACTTTCAAAGCTCGATTGCTTCGCAACCACGCGAGTGGTGACAAGAGCCCGATACGAGCCCCCGACGAGATGCTTCCAACACCGCCATCATTGGTCTTAGCGCAACGTTGGTTTTGGAGCAATGGGGCTTTGAACATCAGTCTAGGGGGGGGGTGCCATCATTCGCCTCTTACGGTAGCCTCGGTAACCTTTACGTGTTCTCGGTGCTGTTCTGACTATTTCTTGGTTGCCCCACTGCGTGTTTTGTTTGAGCACCGTCTGGGTGGTGCTCGGGATGGAGAGCGTTGTTCCCTCGTCGGGTATGAGATCTTGTCGGCAATATTTGACGTCGAAGAAGGCTGCCTACGTGAGCCGCGATTCACCGAGCCCCGTTGTGGAGGTGTTTAGGCCGTCTGATCATAAGGGCTGCTTGTTGTCAAGGTGCATACCGTATTGGTTGATTTCGATCAAGACGCCGGCTAGGCCGAATCAACTCCCTGCGAGAGATAAGACAGTATTGCCCCCGCGCTGCGGGTATCTTCGTCGCTGCTGTGTAGGTGTGGTGACTCAATGGCGTTTGTGTAGTGGCAATGCCTCGGCGTGTGTTTTCGGTGAAGCGTCGATTGGTTTGAACGGTGGAACTGCTAGCGGAGAGGGGAGCGCCCGCTGGCCCAGTATTTGGTGGAACAGTTCCTGACGCGGCAAGCCGGTCGATGAACGTGCCGTTGCTTCCGTGTTGGGTGTTTTGTGCACACCATGGTGCGGTGTCCATCGTTGTGGAGGTAGAGGTGGGAGAGAAAAATGTTGGACGAAAATCACACGTCCGTTACAGGCACCTTGAGGGTTTACGTTTCGAGATCGAGGGACCGATGTTGGTCGTGGTCTCTCTCGTCATGAAGATTGTTTTTGCAATCTGTTTTGAAGCATGCTTGCGTTTATTCTTGAGCAATTTTGCTCGGGCCCACAGACCATATGATTCCAGCCACTGCTGCGCTGTAGCATGGCTGTTCGCACAAACGGCGTCATCTTCATTGCTCACACGTTACCTGTTTACCTGCTTATTTCACACACACACACACACACCCTCCCCGGTGTTTGCCATCGGGGTTGGGTTTTCGTCGCTTGGCAACGACGTTGTAAAACAAGCGCCCCCCTCGGTGTCCACTACATCCTGGTAGATAGGGGGAGCACGCAGATCCCGGAGCTGCACGTAAGTGCGATAGATATAGGTTCGACCGACCACTTCCTCATATGGGCAAACATCGACCGATCTAGAAAGAT